TCTTGTGTAGACTTTGTGTATCGGGACAACCAAACGAGAGAGCTCTTATACGTTTTTTTTTATAGATCCTTAGCTGACCTCTAACCTGAGCTAAACACCAAATTAAGTGCACTAGAAGTTACTTAACACAACTTTCAATTGAGTAAATATTTTCCTGAAATTCCTACTCATTTGCCAGATTGTTGTAGAGACAACTGAAAGAAGAGATTATTACTCTTAAAGATGGTTTGGGATTAAATAGTCTGTTAAAAAGTATTTTGGGCAAACTATTTCTCACTTGGCTAAGCACCTCATTAAACAATGTTGTAAGAGGACATTCCTGTGTTCAGGCAATAGCTCAGAGAGCTGGAAAACATGCAACATTTAGAGAGAACATGTTACAAGCTTGCCAACACAGATACTTTCTCTTGAAAATATGGCAATAACTTCTTGATAATTTGACTACTTTCAATAAAATGCATTATTATTCCTCCTATCTTTACAGTTGAAAAAAGGGAGACTGATCCCTGAATATTGCTTTTTACCAAATAATTGTATGTAGACAGATTGATAATTGACAATACATTGTAATAATTATCTCAGTTGCCCTTTGATCTTATTAATCCAACATGCATTTTTTTTTTTTAATGTTGTTTTCTATATTTCTATGAATCCCTTTCTTCCCAGTGCTCCCATGGGTGCAGCCAACCCTCCCACGAGAGTCACTGCGGTTTTGCATATGGTTCATTTCCTGCTTGAAGCATACATCGGGAGGGCACGGTTACAATATGCTAATGGTTTAAACATGCTAATATTGTGGGCATTTATAAACTCGAGTGTGTGGTATAATTTACAAAACCAACAGAAAGGTTACTGCCTCTCTCCTGCATCCGATGAGACACCAGAGGTGGTGGTCTCATTGGATGCAGAGAAAGCGTTCGATAGGCTGGAGTGGGGCTTTCTATTTGAGGTCCTTAAGAGGTTCAGCCTCGGATCAACATTTTTGTCTTGGATAGCATTGTTATACTCTTCACCCAAGGCTTCAGTGAGTAGTAACTGGATGAATTCTCAATATTTTACACTAGGCAGAGGAACTCGCCAGGGTTGCCCTTTAAGCCCGTTACTATTCGCCATGGTGATCGAACCCTTATCAATTGCGCTTAAATCTGCCAGCTTTAAACAAGGAATTATCAGATATGGTTCAGAACACATACTCTCGTTATACGCTGACGACTTACTATTGTTAATTTCTAACCCTATATCTACCGTTCCTCAGATAATTGATCTGTTAACTCGATTCGGAACCTTCTCAGGGTACAAGCTAAACTTTTCCAAGAGTGAGTGCTTCCCTGTAAATGACCTGGCCCTCCAGATCCCCGATAGACTCATCCCCTTTAAGATGTCCAGGAGTAATTTTAAGTACTTAGGTGTGAATATATGTGGAAAACTCTCAGACCTTTACAAAAACAACGTCCCACCACTAATTGACAAACTCAAATCTGATTTGGAAAGGTGGAATAATTTTCATTTAACTATCGCTAGGAGGGACACTGTATCAAAAATGAACGTGCTCCCTCCCTTCCTATACCTCTTTCAATGTCTGCCAGTCTTCCTACCCAAATCACTTTTTTGTAAAATAGACACACTAATCTCCTCTTTTTTATGGCAAGGGAAGACTCCTAGAATTAGGAGAGAGCTTTTACAAAGGCACAGATCTATAGGAGGATTGGCGCTTCCAAACATAAGACACTACTATTGGGCAGCCAATATCCACAAAATAATTTTATCGATTAAGGAACCAACATTGAGTTTTTCATATACATGTGTGTGTGTGTGTGTGTGTGTGTGTGTGTGTGTGTGTGTGTGTGCGTGTGTGTGTGTGTGTGTGTGTGTGTGTGTGTGTGTGTGTGTGTGTGTGTGTGTGTGTGTGTGTGTGTGTGTGTGTGTGTGTGTGTGTGTGTGTGTGTGTGTGTGTGTGTGTGTGTGTGTGTGTGTATATACATATGTGAGTATATGGATACATGAATTATTGTTCTTATTCTTTATTTCCTTATCTATTGATTTTTTCTTAATTATCATTTACATTACTTTATTTTTACCTATATATGTATTTATTTACTTTACTAGCTAGGACCGGGAGGGGGGGGAAAGGAAAAATATAGACCGTATAAATGTAACTCATTGTGCCTGACTCAACAAAAAATATACTAAGAAAGGTTACTGCCATTTGTATAATGAACTCTATTACCGCATTACCTACAAAGTATGATTCCCTCCCACAGGCTATTCACATAATCACAGCCAAGAGAGCCACTATGTTTTTCTGTAAAAGATGACATTCACCTGCATCAGTCAATCATTTAGCTTTGCATTTCGTCAGCTAGCAATAACTTTGATACATGTTTCTCATTAAAACCAGATTATAAACAGAAAGCATCTGTATCACTCTGGTGCTTCATAGCTTACATTCCTTCCTCTGGCATACATTTATATCTTAATAAATGTATGGGGGGGGGAGCCATACATCTCATCTGACCTGTTATTTTCCCCAAGACAAATAAGTCTGAGGAAATTAGTTAGAAGCAAGTGGCAGAACATTATGTGTGTGCCGTGTGTGTGTGTGTGCGCGTGGGCGTGTGTTATATATGAATCTAAATGCAGATACAAGGAATCCCACAGCAAGATGAATATTGTTTGCATACATACAACGCAGTGTAATGATTTATTTTAGGATGTACAGTTTTTGAGCCTTGTAAAAAGCTACATTAGACTTGGTCAAGTCATGGGAAAAATGTTGTGCTTATCGTTAATGTTAAGGTAAGACTAAACAGGGAGTTACAGGAAATAAATATTTGGCTGAACCTAATTTTCTTTCACAAACATTCATCCATAACTAATTTGCATTGGCTTATTCATTTTGATATCACTCAAACTGCTTAGAGTACTGCTTATTTTTAATACAAATAATGTAACATGTAACATACCGCACTGAGTGTATCTGCAAATCTTTGTCACAGAAATGTCGACACCTGTGAAAAAGCTCATCAGCATATCTTCCCACATGAACTTGAAAAGCAAATTTGTATTATATGATTACCAGGTGCCTGATCGGTATTGCACATCTAACATTCAAAACAGATATGAGAAGGAGATTGCTGACTTCTCAGCTACTTCCATTATCAGCTCTAGAAATAACAACATTTGTAATTCTTATCTATCAATTGCCAGATTGTGCTAGTGAGTTGTTAGATTTAGCAGCTTAACTTTGCCCCAGGCAATGCTTTTTGCGAAGCCCTTAGATAGTGGGAACACATTGTGGATATGTGTAGACGACACAAAGGTTTGGTCAAAAAACCTGCATAGATAGTTACAAATTGGCTAGATCATGACTGAGATACATTTTGGGTAAGGGTGTTGGGAGGTGTGAAGATTTGATGTTAAAATAACATCAATATTACAGTAAGACTAAGCTAAGTCAGTCAAATGTCCTCACAAGTATAGTACACATCTCTGAGTGTATGCTGCTAAGAGGAAGGAGCAAACTGAAGGCAGAACAAGAGATAGAGGTTTGGGAGAACAAAACAAAATGCAAAGCACAATGAGGAGAAAGGTGGTCAGGCTATAAAAAAAGAATCTGGAGGATGGATGGAGGGAGAATAAATGAGAGATGAAGTGTGGAAAATAGGGAAAGGCTGCTGATGTGCTTCTTAAGCAGGTCATTGGACGCGGTGTGCCGTGGGAGGGCTTGTTTAAGCATGGCTAACAGATTTCCTCAGTCCCTGCCTGCGGGAGCTTTTCCTTAAAGCTCCGGTCCAGAGAGGCACTGTCACATCAGGATGCATGATAAGGAAATGGAACACATGGCCATTAAATAACTTCTAAAATGTCGTCCATCACAGGAGGCGAGGAAAACTTCATTACCCATGGGTGCCATTTGGCTATTCAAATGGGACAGAGCTTGATAAAACTGTATTTCATTAAATCAAAATAAACCTGTACTTTTCCTCAATTGCTATATTTCCTGACATAATAGCTGTTGGAACAGTTAATAGCAGCACAAGTGAATGTTGTTATAAAGACTCAGTCCTTCAATTTGAAAGCTGCGGTCTGTAACGACAAACATATCATCATCATTGCCCTCTGCTGCAGCTAAATGAGGTGTTGCATCAGCGTTGAGTCTCAGCAGTGATCAAGGTGCCCCGCTGAAGCTGCAGAATCAATACTTGTGTCCATCATGTCTGCCTGGGGCTCCTGAGCCTTCTGCGTGTCTCTGATGTGGGCTGTGAAGCCTAGTTTACAGCATACTGGTGAATACTGACTCTTGATCCTGTTCATCCGCTTATTCAGCACTGAAGGGCACCTCTGTAATCCACCGCCACCAGTCTTGGCAGAGTTCGTGGTCGACACCAAAGCCCTGTTTTTCACACAAACCAGCACTGCCTCCAACTTCACTGACAGGCCTACAGGCTGTACTTCACACTCTCACACACGAACACAAGCTCTGTAGTTTGTCAAATTCTCCCTCTCACTCTCAACAGATACACAAAACTCAAAGAGCGACGCACAGGCCCATGGGTGCTAATGGCTTCAGGGCATCATATTTCCCAATTTAAGAGAAGCTGCGTTGATAGTGCCATGTGTCTCACGCTGACTTCAATCCGCTCTCCGCGCAAGATCGCTTCCCTAATGACAGTAATTGCATTGAGGAAGCCCCCGGTCGTGTTCAATTACCCATTCCCATCCAAGCACACGGGTCTAATCTCGCAGTGTAATGTACGATACAGATGGCTCTAGAAGGCAGACATATCCATCATCGCCTCATCTTTGCTGCAACGTGGGAAATCCAGCAGGAGAACCATGTAAGATTTAAATGGGCTGAGATGTGCCACTGAGATTTCATTATATTGTAATATTTGAAAACTGGTGTTTTCTAAAGTAGAATTGTGTCTCCTTGAGAAATAAAGGACAATTCTCTTCCTGGCTCTTTCCAAATGATTAAACACAGTAAAAAGAAGACTCACCCGAGAGGTTTCTCCAGGCGGCTGGCAGGTGAGCCCACGATCTCTCCCAATGTACAGTGGACCTGTCCCAGAAAGTCCTGCCATGGGGGGAACACACAGTGGGATAGAGAGAGATGGAGGATGGGGGCGTTCAGGTGGTTAGGGGGTAACAAGGACAGTCGGTGAGGAGTAAAGCATCGTCATAAGCATTGTACGGTTATAATTAAGGACATCTGAGGCAGACACGTACGTTAAAGTCGGTGGGCTTCCAGGGTGAAGAAGAAGGAGGAGGAAGAGAAAGAGACCAGGCAGCAGCAGTGACACAACAGAGCATATCATGGAACAGAAGACACACCACTCAAATACCAGACAGTCATCAACCAAGTGCAAGAAAGAAGAGCAAAAGTGGATATGTGAAAGAGCAGATATGCAGCACAGAAGAGTAGACGATGAAGAGTCAGAAAGTCTCAGAGGAAGCAGGAAAGAGAATGTGAAACAGCACAATAGATGGAAAGCAACAAAGGGTTTCATTCAAAGAACAGTGTGTTTCCAAGCCATGCAGCACAAAATAACAACAATAAAAGCATTACAGTGACATTTGGTGGTATGCAAACCAAGTGCTGCAAATATATTGCTTATGTATAAAATGAGACATAGTTTATTAATCAAAGCTTTCAACGTTAATGGTGGCACTAACATACATGTATCACTATAGCTGGGTATTGTTCCTTAATGTGCTGTCTTAGAATATGAAAATCTAGATTGCAAAGTACACTACAGAGCGCACAGGGAAATGTGTTTTGAAAGGCTTTGATAATTATGTGCAATGCTTCATTTGAGGGTATGCCAGATGCAAATACAACTCCAATTATAATAGCTCTGAAGAAATAAAATATATTCTCAAACTAAGGCAAGTGGAGAGTGTAAAATAAACAATATTTTGGCAGATGAAGCATAATCCTCTCATTATTCCCAAATATATTTGAGCATTTTAGATGCCGTAAACTGGTTTGCATAAAACCTAAAAACAGCTCAAACTAGTTTCAGGATGAAATATAAACTAGTTCTGAAGAAGAAATAAAGTGTTTTCACTTACATGCTTTGCCAGATCTGGACTTTTAGAATCAATATCATACCTGAAATCACAAAGTCACCACAAATCACATGGGCGCAGATGGGCGAAACATCATGAGACCTCACATTTTACTACCAAGTCTAATAATAAAAAAAACACTGGCTGCAGCGTGGACATGTTCCTCCTGTCGATCACACACTGGGTCATTAAGGGAGCAAATAATATGACAGTTGATTAGGAAAGTGGTTCTATAGTTTATTCATGTAATTTCTGTACTATGCCTGGGAGATCATACTTAAACTACCTACAGATGCACAGAAAGTTTCTAGCATTTGCCAGACTTAATGTAAAAGTAACTAAGCCTCATTCAGCCCAGGCTCCCACCTCTGTGATCAAAATAAATATGTAAATGAGCAACACTAATTGTGAGGGGGTTCCAGAGTTGAATCATGATAGCATGCCAAATTCATTCATTAAGTGTCTAAAATCCTTTGAGACCTGCAGCCCGGCCCTGGATACGTCGCTGAAGTCCACTGGGGGACTTCATGCTTGAAGGATGGAAGAAAAAAAAGATATTTTTTTGGAAGCACATCTGTTCTCCTTGAGTAGGGAGGAGAAAGACAAAATGATCCTGACTCTGTTCTGGGGGGGTCTCAAAAGGAAACCGCACCTTCTTGACCTTCTCTCCAGGCTGGTATTTTTCAAGAGGGGGAAGGCAGCAGTATGTGAAAGAGGGGGGGGACAGATGTCTCGGCGAGTTTCATGGGACTTAGTTTTAGAGATTTGCTTTGCTTAGCAGGAGAAATATTAAGGATACAACTTTATTTGAAATATGTATCACCCTTATACCAATCTCCTTGGTAGAAGAAAATGACTTCTGAGACTCTGCACCAATGAATAATTCCTCAGGAGAGAGCAGCGCTGGCAGTGACAACGGAGAGAAGAGAGAAAATAAGAGACCAGAAAGGGGGAGGGGGGTTAAGAGATAGATGGGGAAGACAGAGTGACTGAGGGAGAAGATGTGAAGCTTATGGTTAAAAAAAGAAATGAACGAAATGGGGGACTGGTTTGGAAGAGGACTGCACATTTGAAACTCGGTGTGTGTCTCCAGAGGAATGGATCAAACTGAATAACTCACACGTCAAATCGCAGGTTTTGCTTCTCCTCAAAGAAGTAGTCCAGGATGTACTTCCTGATAAAGTCCGGGTTCAGTGTGTTGTCGATGACTTCTGTTCTCCCGAACTAGACCAGAACCAGGAAAGAAGGAGAAAAGAGACGAATAAGTGATCTCAAAGCTTTCAGATGGCACATCATGCAGTCACGCAGAAACTACATCCAGAGTTCTATTAATGTACCCCCCCCCCCCATCTTCCCCCTGCAACAGTGTGAATTCACAGCTTCAGATAAGCTCAGATTTGATTAACATAAATCAGTGATCGCACAGTTCAGCTCTTCTTCTCCACCTCTTCTCATTGTGCTGGGGATGAGCAAGCCTGAGGAAAACACTTTATGGACTCCAATTACACTAATTTATTAATATCACATTCAACGCCACTTTCGAGCTCATAGTGACTTAAAAAACAAGGGGTGGGGATGATGAGCTGTTACAAATGATGGGAAGGTGGCAAGCCATCTCCAGTTCCCTGGCATTATGAAGAAAATGGGAATCCGTCAGTACTAAAGAAAGACGACACTGATACAGAGCAAGACCTTCTGATGCGGGTATGTGCTGATAAACAAATCAACAGGCAAACAAAAGTGTTGTGCAAAACCCCCATCACACACATTATTGAATCCAAAATGAATAATTCAAAGTCAGAGGATGTATGCAGAGCTGCATAAATGAAAGGAATTGGAACCATAGACTGACACAGGGAATTAATAATAGCAGTGTTAAGGTTTAATGAGGAGATGTAGCAGCAGGATTACAGGCTCACAACTTTGTGATTACATGCAGTGGGGGTAAAACTCAAAGTGGGATTTAATGTGGGGAGCGACAGAGTAACGTTGCAGAAGAAGAATACTTTTAACAGATGGACGCCTATGCTAATGCTAGAGAGTCTATAGCTGGATGTGTGTAACATATGACAGTATGAGGGAGTGGATTTACTGAAGTGTAACCTGCCATCAAACATAAAACTGTGTCTAAGCCTATAAAAGTTGAACTTCTATATAGCAGCACTCTCTTCCTATGTATACCTGTCAGAAAGTGGGAGCGTACATAGAGGGAGTTATCTGCACCAGGCGAACAGCGGCATCATTTTATGATAGGAGCTGAATGTGGCAACAGGGGGCCGATAGCATATTCAATTTGGTACTAGCCAAACTCAACAGAAGCATAAAATCAGCACCAGAGCAGAGAACAGCCACCCGAGGAAATAAAACATTTCTCAGACCACATATTATTCCTTCCTTGGCAAGTACAAAGTGGGCCTGTAAAGCCAGAGTTGCAAAGCACTACGATTAACTATCAACCCCCCCAAAAAAAGGATATCTGGGCATTGGCAGTCAGTGTGCAATACTTCCCTCCAATAACCCTGCCTTAGATAATGGTGAGCTCCAATGTCACTAAATTATCTTGGTAAAAAGATTAATGTCTCTATTAATTCCTCAGCGTGGAAAGGCCAGGCTTGCTTACATTTATGGAGGTTACATTGTGTCAGCTGTTAAGTAAAAGCTGTGGAAAGAGGAAAACATGTCATGCACTCTGAGTAATTAAAGACGAGGGAGTTGAATATTAATACTTGTCATGTGGTAACAGATTGATGGGCTGCAGCTACAGTTTTATATATTCGGCTAAGGATGCTGACAAGGGGAGGAATTGATGGACCTGGATTTAAAATATCCAGATGTTCTACTCTTGATGGATGAACTTGAAAGACACCAAGCCGATGGGGGTTTGTCCCACACAAGAGTCATTGGATTACAGACGGGAGGTGGCACAGTGAAAGGTGCTCCGACCAACCACATCCACTCTGAGGAGAACAAACAGGCGCATATCATGACAGGGGCAAAAGAAGGGCTTAGCAGCACCTTTATCAATACTGCACAGCTTGACTCTGCAGCTCACACAGGCAGCTGTCCGGCTCTGACTCTGTATCTCTGTCAGGGAGAGACGTCCAGGCTGCACGCAGTGTGGAAGCTCGAGGCGGGGCAGTGTAGCCAGAGGTGACAAGTGTAGGAGGCTTGACTACATTTGCATGATAATTAGTCAAACTAATTTATGGCCTCATTAAAAGCATATCGCTGTGTTGCTGCTACAAGCGCCAATGTTTGCTTTACTGGTGGCCACTCTTAAAAGCCTGAGAGCAAAAAAGATAGTTCAGGTAACAATTGGTAATTCATTTAATCATTCATGTTAGTCGCCATTTTGTCTACAGTTAGGTTAGTAGAAATTACATTTAAAGACACAGGACGTGATAGATGCACAAGTAACCCCCACGTGACTCCAAATGCATCTGTACTAAAGTGGACAACAATTTTCCAGAGGACTTTTAAAGTGTGAAAGTTACATTGTGAACCCAATCAAGATTGTAGTCCAGTGTGTGTGTGTGGTACTTCAACCTTTGTGAGAACCAGTTGTTTGAGAAATATCGATCTTCTTATCTAACCCTTCAGAGAGAAAGTGTATTTCACACAATGTCAAACTATTCCTTTTAGACCAGGATACTGAACTTACTTTACTCGGGGGGAACTTTTTGATAATGACAGAAGGCCAGTTAATAACAAACATTAAGATAAACATGGATTAGGGGCTTAGCGAGGAGTTGCGTTTGGAGAAACTCCCATGGCACTTTTGTTTTTATAAACAAGCTATATTCTTCTATTATGATGCATTTTGCGGTTTAAAATCTGACACACAGGTTCGTAAATGTTGTATCGCTGTGTGTGTGTGTGTGTGTGTGTGGTGTGTGTGTGTGTGTGTGTGTGTGTGTGTGTGTGTGTGTGTGTGTGTGTGTGTGTGTGTGTGTGTGTGTGTGTGTGTGTGTGTGTGTGTGTGTGTGTGTGTGTGTGTGTGTGTGTGTGTGTGTGTGTGTTGTGTGTGTGTGTGTGTGTGTGTTGTGTGTGTTGTGTGTGTGTGTGTGTGTGTGTGTGTGTGTGTGTGTTGTTGCTTTGCTATGTAAAGGTAAGACGGGGCATCTCTTCTCATCCATGTTGGAATCCATGTTGTGAACCTGCCTTGTGCCACTGAAATCTGTTTTAGACCTTAGTCTATTTATAAAAGCCAAGAACCACCAAAACACAGATTCCAAGTGAAACCTTTGTATCCTGGAGCCAAGTCTTTCCCACTCCTAAATCTGTTGTGTCACACCAATGTGCACCGGTCTGAAACTAAGGCCTCTGTGTGGAGTCAATACACATGGCACTCCTATTCAGCCAGAGTGAAAGAAATAGCAAATAGTGTCAGCTCTTAAAAGTATCTATCTATTCGTGTTAGGCAGCATGTACTGTACACACAGTATTTATTGTGCTGTATATTACTGAATGCCTGGCTTTTAACTTTTGAAAAATAACATTCATGTTCACAAAAAAGGGTTCGGCTGCCTCAGATCAAAAGAATATCAGTCTGAAAAGAATCTTAAATTAGGAGTTTTTTTCTGTATACCTATCCATCAGGATTACAGGAACAAATAGTCCCAAAGGCATCACTTGTCTTGCCACAATAGCTTTCCTCTCTATACGTTACCTGTCTCTGCGGTCTAATTAAAGTGTTAATCAGCCAATCAGTCACAGTTTACACAGTGCTGACCAGTGCACGGATATTCACAGCGTTAATCAATCGGAAATGATTGGCACTCACACCTTGAGGGGGGTGGGGGGGTGTAAACAGAGAGCAGCCTGTGATAGAGAGGAGACATGCTGATGGAGTTGTGTCGACAGAGGGGCGATCTCTTACCTCTCTCCACTGTTTGCACTCAGCGCCCTGCGTGTACAACACCAACACTGAAGAGAAAGAGAGAGAGTGCACTGTCACGGCACCATCGCAATCAAGCATCCCGCTTCTTCGTACGGTGCTTTGCTGCAATTCATCATTAATTATCCCATCTCACCCTGACAGCATAATGAAGTGCCAAACCTGATGATGCTGCACTGCATCACATTCTGGGTATAATGGGCACATGCAAAGAACAAAGCTCTTTAACAACATTGTAGACGTCTGGAGCTCAATTTAAGCCGTGCAATCAAAAAACAATATGAAATACAATAACAGTTGGAAAATGTCTTTATTCCCATATTATATTACGACTTTAAATTAAGCTGAGCCTCATGCTCACAGCGTGACCCCTCATATATCTTAGGGTTCATCTTCCTGCGAATAAAAAACAGGGCGAATGTAATATTTTCCAGTGGCTTATTTACACAAAGGGCTCGAACCTCCTCCTTATTATGATGCATGTCTCTCCCATTCTTCATCCTGCAGGGAGCATCAAAGAAAATGCCTTTATGGCGGTTCCCCATGTGTTTCACCCAAAGATACCCATTTGTATTCAAAGTCTGGACCTGCATGCATTAAGGTACTTTCTGTAGCTCTCAGTGAGGAAAGGTTGTCACATTAATGTGCAAATTATATGCAGTTATTGAAGGAACACTTTGAAATAGCAAAGTAAACTGAATCAAAGTGAAGCTCAGCAAAAATAAAAGTAAAGCTTTGCCGAGGGAGAGAAGGTGATGAACCATTTTCTGAGCAAGACAAAAGCCATGCTTAAATCAGCACTGTGAAAGCTGAGAACTTACATGGGTCGGATTTGGAGAAAGTGTCTCGGTCCAAGAGATTTCTGGAAGAGAAGAAAACAGACACTTTAAAACTGGGCTCTGGCAAATGTTTTCATTTATGTCTAATTCATTTCTCAGAATTGTAAGAGTAATGGGCTTGCACAAATGTGGAGGTTTCGACTTTTTAGGTACACATACGTAAAAAAGAATAATTTACAACCACACTTCACATGACAGTGAAAGGACTGCAGTGGACCCAAGGCTGAACACTCTTATTTATATATTCTGATTCAGTAAGAGAAAAACTAAATCAAGAAAAATATAAAAATGGATAATCATGACATGTGCCAGATGAAAAACATAATAACCGTCCCTCTCAGAATCAAGCATTCTTAAAAGAAATCTTGGAAATGTGAAATTGTTATTTAGCCTACAGTCCATTTTTTTTTGTTGAGAAATGTTGTTAAGAAACACAAGAACGACAAACAAAGAGTAGCGAAAACATTAAACATCCTCTTTTGTGAATTAATTCATCAATATGTGGCACAAATGAACAGAACAGAAGTGACTATATTCACACTGGCTGCTGTAGCTTAATTGGAACTACTGTGTTTTTTTAAATGGTGAATTAGTTTCTTATTGATTGTATACAATTAGGGCTGCCTCATGCATGACATACAGCAGAGGATGGACCAGTATCAATCAGACCACAGCTCCAAAACCGGGCAGTCAAAGTGATCAATGAAACAACAAATAACTCATTAATTGCAAAAATCTCACGGAACAATCAGTATTATATTTGTGCAATGCATGTGCCGGAGGTGACACTACTTAAGCAGCAAAGGAATTGGAGCTGGAAAAATCATTCTTTTAACTGAATACCAACAAACCAATTGGGAACAATTGTGATATTTAATTAATCAGAGAGGTTTCTTTTAAGCAAAATGACAAACGTCTGTAGTGGCAGCTTCTCAAATATGAGGATTTCTGCTTTTCTGTCTGGTAGGATAGCTAACTGGATTTATTTGCGTTTTGTACAGTTGGTCAAACAAGAAATGAATAATAAATATGTTATTATACTTTCTGCTTCTAAAACGGACAGAAATAATTAAGAAAAGGATTTGCAGTTAAACAATAGTGAAATTATTGTTAGTGTCAGCTCCTAATGCACAAGGGATATGGATTAAAAAAACATCCAACAGATGAGCAACCTTTATCAGCAATAATTCTACAGTATATCTCTTACTGTATGTCCACAGCAACATAGAAAAGTGTGACCTGTTTCCATCACAGATTAATATATCTAGCATTTAGCAACAGCTCATGTGAGGAATGTTTCATCATTTCACAGCAACAGAAAACTCAATATATCGAAGAGCTCCATCAGTATGCTAACATGAGCATGCTTATGTTCAAAGCTAAAGCAGCAACCAAGGGAAGCTACCTGCAAAATAGCATATCATTAGTTCATAGTTTGGGTATCTAATGCCCCGGCCACACGAGGACGAAAACGGTCGTTTGCGTTACTGTTTAGTGTCATATAGACCGTTCGGCCACACGAGGACGACAGAATACGGCACTAAACAACTGCGGAAACGATAACGGGTCCCAAGGTGGATAGAACGGCATACGCAACGCTCTGGGGGGTCCAACGGCTCCTTGTGTACGCCCAATACGATCATTTTCTGATAATGATGAGGCAATAGCCCCGCCTCTCCCCACCTCTGCTGCTCACCCCCGCGTCAAAGTAAACTGCACACTGAATTCAGATTATGTATCTTTCTCTCGATATGGACATAAACGCGAGTGAAGTCTAATCTGACAGGACGGAGACACCTCTCAAACTACCTAAACTAGTTATAAATATGTTTATTTTTACTGTCGGCCTCATTACTGGATCAGCTGCTGCATGAAACAGACACTCTGGCGCTGTCCAAAGAGAGGGAGGAAAAAGAGAGGCTCCGTGTATTTTATTATTATATTATATAGAGTCGTTATTCATTTGTTTTAAAGCTCAATAAATAACAAAGAAGACCTTTGACCGGCACTTTTATAATTTTGTCGGAAGATTTAAACTTTAATACACGTTGACTGGCGAAAAACTCTGCCCGGTTCCCTCGGCCCCCACCGCGGAGAATAAACAGAAGGGCAACCATGACAACCACGCTTCTTCGCTGCTTTTGTGGAGGAAGTTACAGCGCCACGTACAGGCTCCTGCATATGTACTGCAGCTTCTCCAGCGGTTGGAGCTAAACGGAGCTGTCTCGTGTGGACAGACACTATCCGGATGACTATTGCGTGTGGACGGAAGCTTTTTTGCGATTGCGTTTGCGTTAAACCTATGCGTTGAGCCGTTTTCGTCCTCGTGTGGCCGTCACACTCATTCAGACTAGTCCCCCATTCAATCTCCCCTATTTTGAACAACAATCGAAGAAATGAGACTCCTATTGCAGGTCAGGATACGTACAGCAGCATTTCCCTCAGTCTAAATCCTCTAAAGTTAAATAAAATAAAGCACAGCCTTGCTCTGACACTCATCATCCAACACCTTTTCATACAGCTAGACTCTGATTGGCTCATTTAAGATGAGAGCCGCAATCAGCACTCATTTTATTCATTCCACCTTTATTTTTAGTCTAATAGATTGGGTTTGTGATTTTTTTGGGCAGACAAGTTAGTTTTCCTGACGACACCAGCTAAATGAAATATGATGTAATGAGTCTTAAACATGTCCTTCAGTCACTGTACAAGATCTAATAAAGCAGATATAACATCGGTGTCCGACCTTCAATAGTAGAACATTTTATACGGGGGGCATTTTCCACATAGTTTAAATGATCTCATTAGCATATCAGTATAATTCAAAAGCCTATAAACACGTCTTGTTTCTGCTTCCCTGATTGTTAGCCGTATCAATAAATAACTTGCATGCAGTTCAGAACAATCCTCATCCCTCTAGGGGACAAGAGGATTTCAATGAATATAGATGAGGATTCAGGACTGAATACAAGCAACAGGGCATCATTCATGTCCATGTATTCTGCATTCCTGGACACAAAGTCTTCTGTCACAGGGAAACGTGGGCGATAATAGATGCAGTTTTGTTAGGTATTAGCCCTGCTGACCTGACTACAGTTGGAACATTGTCAGTGTAATTATCAATGGAGATAACAAAGCCATCAAGGACTAACTGCCTCTTTGCATCTACCTGTAACTGTCTGGCATCCATTACCACTCGACAATTAGCCTGTTCATCACCTCTCAGTGCAGAAGAGAACATGCGGAAAGGAACATTGGAAAAAATGACATGCTGCTTTACATTTACACAATGTTACTGGCAAATAACAAGGCTTCATTACAGTAGCCGACATCACTTTCCTGTAGCAGAAAAAAAATGTATTCCAGGAAGAAACTATAAAAAGATGTATACACCGATTGAAATTAATCCACCATCTTACTGTGTGCACATGGCCAGAGAACACAGTGTTGCCGCAGGATGGGTATTACGTCTCAGATAATCCGTCTGCCTTCACTAAAGTAAAGCCTATTTCAAAAGTTAACTCCTTCTCACCACGAATCTCAGTGGGATAAGAGAAGATCATTATCCCGAAAGCTGATGTAGAACAAGTTTGTTGATGAATATACTCTAAAGTTAATTGAAAGTAGGACAAAAGTAATTAGATCCAGCTACTTTTCATTCACACCACATTTCATCCCTCAGCCGTCTTTCATACCGTGGCACTTTCGTGATCACTACGACCATCTCATTTGAAACACGTGAATGGAAATCGCAACATCACTTTTCCTATTCCTTCTGATCTCACCGCCTTCATTAAAACTGAGTGCAATAATTTCCTCTAGTCGCAGGAGCATTATATATTTATCACATGTGAAGCAATCCTCTGGGGTTCATTATTAGATGCAGAACAAACAAACAACGAGAAATGTAATTTTACTTGAGAAACAAAGAAAATATAATTTATGTAATGTTCCTTTCTCTGGCTCATCATACCTAATAAAGTATTGTTTTTAAGGCAGTACGAGCAAAAACTTAAAACAGTCCGCCAGCCAACGCTCGTACTCCTAATCTGCAAACTCACTTTGGCTTTATTAATGGGACAAAAACGTATTTAGTTTGGCTTAAAACATTTTCTACTACAATCTAAGAATGAAGAAAATTTGACCTCTAAAAACGGCTGGTTGCTAAACATTGATTTAAAAATATATATTCAGAGCACACGCTCCCTCTGGGTCAGATCCCTAAGGATAATTTAGCAGCTCCTTGGTCCATGTGGCTGATTATTAAACTAAGAAATGTGAGAATTAATTACTGCACCCTCAGTGCCTCATTGTCAGCAGTCCCTTAATTTTTCTCCACTTTCTTAAAGTTGCTGAACGCATAATTGGCACCTTGGAGAAATAGCATCTAATTCCGTGGAAAGTGGTTTTAAATAGTCTTGAATTTGGCTGGCTAATCCCCGCATGAGCTACTAACTCATTGGTTCTTGAAAGGAGACCACAAATGCAAGCATGAAAGTCAAGTTTCTGACCGGGTGAGAGAAAAGAAAGTCTTTATGCTAGATGGCAGACAATGGGAGATGGCTGGGAGGAGGATGTAAAGGACAGTTTGTATTTTCAAGCCACTTTACATTCTCTCCTGCCCTATGGCTCTCTCTTCTCTGACTGAGGATAGACATTTTCTTTCCACTCACACAGCATGGGGTCAGCAAGTCCACTTTTTGTTTCAAATGCCCTTAAGCAGCTTATCAGGGGTTGAAGAGTCAGAGAACCAAACGGGAGATATATGCTGCTGCTGAGGTCGACAGGCTCTTTACAAACCGGAGGGATCCCATTATTTCGACTGAAGTACTCCGTTTTCCTTGAGGGCATTTTTGTAATGCAAAAAGGAAATATCTTCAATACATTATGCAGGAAAAATCATGAGATACGGGCGATAAGGAGCAATCATGTGAAATTAAAATAAACAAATTAAAACAACAAATGATAGAATGTTTTTGCACTGCTGCATTTCATTATTGGAAATTATCTCTGCCAGCACACA